TCAAATTTGTGGTTCACAACAAGATAGCCCCCCAAAAAGACCTAGCTTCAGAGAAATTTTATGTCCACAAACAGAATCTTCAGTCAGGTTATCCTTAGCTGAAAGCACACACTGACCAATGGCCCAAATAAGAAATAAAGAGAGCAGCTCAAACTTTAGAAAGTCTGCTCATGATTGACCAACTGGAATGGGCTACTGCTAGGGAAACAACACACCAGCTTGTTCACACATAAGGTTCTGGAGGTTAAATTAAGCAAATATTAAAATGTACTTGGGTAAGGTAAAAGGTAAGGGGACCCCTGGACCATTAGGTCCAGTCGTGACCGACTCTGGGGTTGCGGCGCTCATCTCGCTTTATTGGCCGAGGGAGCCGGCGTACAGCTTCCGGTCATGTGGCCAGCATTACTAAGCCGCTTCTGGCGAACCAGAGCAGCGCACGGAAACGCCGTTTACCTTCCCGCTGAAGTGGTAACCTATTTATTTACTTGCACTTTGACATGCTTTCGAACTGCTAGGTGGGCAGGAGCAGGGACCGAGCAATGGGAGCTCACCCCGTCATGGGGATTCGAACCGCCAACCTTCTGATCGGGCAAGTTCCTTGGGCTTCCTTGGTTTTAACCCACAGCCGCCACTCTTTTTATCACTTGAGCTGTTGTGGTTTTTTGCAACCAATCCGCTCTTCCCAGGGAAACTGTAGTTTTCTAGGAGAGAAAGAGGGATCGTCTAAACGACCCCCGTCGGCCCTTGTAACAAACCATAAAGTTCCCAGCATTCTGGTGTGTGTTTGAAGCAGGCATTTAAACTGCTTTAATTGCCATGGTGGCAGAGTGACCCTCTCTCTATAATAATTGGGACACTTTCGACACTTCTGGGTTAAGCCAGAGTTCAAGTCCTGTATCCCGGCTGCGGTACATTTTTCAAATACCACTCTTTGCAACATTTGGCATGTTCTTGATTTAAAAGGGGGAAAGCTGTTTAGCATTTATTAAATTCTCTCTGTAAAAGGTCTGACACACATTAAAACCAATGAGAGATAAAGAATGGAAAGGACCCCACTGAAAAGAAACTTGACAGTACAAATTAAAAATCCATGCAATTCAAATTGGCTTAATCCTGAAGTGTAATTCCAATTGAGACTGAAGCGAGAAAACTTGATGGTCCTGGACAGGCAGTAAAACACTCCTGAAGACCTTCTGGATCCCTTGGACTGATTTAATCAATTAAAGAGAACCAATTTTGATGCGTAAAGAGATGTGTTCAACCACCAGTTAACATTCCAGCTCTGCGGCCAACTCTGTCAGGATGCGGCCAGTAAGGCATCATCTTCTTTCGTTGATTCACTGTCATGATTATCCTTCTTCAGTTCTTCCATCACCACTTTTTTCTACTTAGGATCCTTTTGCCTGTTGTCTTTCTCCATGTTGTAGTATTATTAGTCATATTGTAGTTCAAGCTCTGGTTTCCCGTAGTGACTGTATGGGAAGGAGAGCTTGGACCATAAAAGAAGGCTGATCACTCTCAAGAATCTTGGTGCTGGAGGAGACTCTTTGAGAAGTCCCTGGACTTGCAAGAAGATCAAACCCTCCATTCTGAAGGGAAATCGCCTGAGGCCACTGGAAGGGAACATACCCTGAAGTTGAGGCTTCCAATATTTGGCCCACTCGGAGAAGAGAAGACTCCTTGGAAAAGACCCTGATGTGGGAAAGATGGAGGGCACAAGGAGAAGGGGACGACATGAGGACGAGATGGTGGTGACAGTTGTTCTCGAAAGCTACCAGCTATGAATTTAACCAAACTGCGGAGGCAGTGGAAGACAGGAAGTGGCCTGGCGTGCTCTGGTTCCAGGGGTCCACGAAGAGTCGGACACGATAAATGACTAACAACACAATGGTTAAAGAGTACAAACATTGGACCCAGTTATACCAGATTGAAAGTTATTAAAGTATTAAAAGCCCCTGAGTCACTATTCTCAGGCATAATTGAATCATAGGTTGAGGGGGGGCGTCCTTTGTCATTGCTCCTCCTTGCTTAGAGGGGAAATAAAGTCGACCAAACAGTCCTAAAACATCCCTTTTTCCTTTGGGTCCCAGCAGGACAATTCCCAAACAGGAGGCTTGGCCCGTCTAAAACTCTCCCCAAAATGTGCATGTTCATTCTAGCTACTTATAAGTAGGTGGCACTATCGGAAGTCTTTGAAGGCGAAATAACCGAAATTCCCTCCCCCAAAAAAACCCACCCATTTATTCATGTATTCGCCAGCTCTTGACAACCACATCTGGGGGACACGTTGGCAAGCGGGAATCCTCCTCCATTTGACTTGCTAATTAAAACCTCGTGTTTTGGGGGCGCCCGTTCCCAGACCCTTTAAGACCCGCATTTGCAAGCTCGGACGGCAAAGGACAGTGCGACAGCTCCCCGCTTTCGGCTCCGGAAGCGTATTGTGTTCTCGTATTGGTGAGGGTTGCAGGTGAGCGAGATTGTCTTCCCGCCAGACCAAGGCACTTGCCTCGGGGGGGACTCTGATGACCTGTGTTGAGAAACAAAGCAAGGGGGGTTTTTGGGGGGCCGTGAGAGCCATTTCAGGGCTAGGGCGAACACGTCCTATTAAACCAACCTGGCTCCTTCCCAGGTGTTGTAAGGCTAAGGGTAAAGCGTAAAAGGTACCCCTGCCCGTTAACGGGCCAGTCGTGTCCGCTCTAGGGTTGTGCGCTTCATCTCAACTTAATAGGCCAGGAGCCAGTGCTGTCCGGAGGACACTCCGGGTACACGTGGCCAGCGTGACGAAAGCTGCTCATGGCGAGTCAGCACCTCAGCGCAGCACACGGAAAACGCGTTTACCTTTTCCCGCCTATAAAGCGGTACCTATTTATCTACTTGCACTTAGGGTGCTTTTCGAAACTGCTAGGTTGGAGGAGCAGGGGCCGAAAGACGGGAGCTCACCCCGGCCGCGGGGATTCGAACCGCGACCTACGATCGGCAGGTTCCAGGCACTGAGGTTGTTTACCCACACGCCACCCGTGTCCCGATTGTAAGGTTGTAAGGGCTACCCCCTCTACAAATGGTTAAATCTGGTTAAGGAATATGGCAAAAGATTTATAAAGGTTAATTTCTGGATTATTTCAAATAAACTAGAAGTTAAATAGGGATTTGTTTATTTTCGTGAATACTGGGAAATAAAGCTTAGAAAAGTAATAAGCAAGCGGTTGTACAAGATTATTGATTTCTAAGCTGGAATGGCAGTTATTGCTTTTGGGGGTGGAAAAAAAGGGCCAAATGGAATATGGAAAAATGAAGGATTATGTTTTTGAATACATTTACAATCAGAAATAATTTGCACAGATAGTGGCCAGAGGATAGATGGGAAAAATAAAATGCCAAAGGAATCACAATAAATGGCATTTTTACAGGGACTGGATAGGAAGAGGGGAAGCCAAGCCTAACATACAAGCTCGAATGAACAGAACTGTGTACATGGATAAAGATATGAAGAAGGAAGGGCCGACCGGGTGGGTGGGGTTGGAGTGGGAGGGGGGGGAAGTAAACCGGTATGGATTGAAGGATTGTTATGTAACCCTTTTTCAGAAACCAGTATATATTAATGCTATGTAGGTAGCAGCGGGACGCTGGGTGGCGCTGTGGGTAAAAGCCTCAGCGCCTTAGGACTGCCGATTGAAAGGTCGGCCGGTTCGATCCCCGCGCAGGGTGCGCTCCCGCGTTCGGTCCCAGCACCTGCCAACCTAGCAGTTCGAAAGCACCTTCAGGCTGCAAGTAGATAAAGGGACTTTGCTTACCAGGCGGGAAGGGAAACGGGTGTTTCCGGGCTGCGCTGGCTTGCCAGAGCAGCGAATGCAGTGGCCACATGACCCGGAAGGCCGGACAGCGCTGGCCCCCGGGCCTATAGATGAGATGAGCGTCTCACCCCCCATCGTTCAGCATAGGTCACATCTGGTGGGAGGGCGTCCACAGGAGGGCGCCACTACCTAGAAAGGGCCTCTGCCTGGTTCCCTGTAGCTTTGCTTCTTCGCAATGAGGGGAACCGCCAAAGCGCTGGACCTCAGCGTCCGGGACAGAATGATGGGGTGGAGAATGGCTCCTTCTCAAGGTATACTGGGCGGAGGCCGTTTAGGGCTTTGAAAGGTCAACACCAACACTTGAACTGTGCCAAACGTACGGAGCCAATGTAGGTCTTTAGGACTGGTGTTATGTGGTCCCGGCAAGCCACTCCCGTCACCAGTTCTAGCTGCCGCATTCTGGAATTAGTGTAGCCGGTCACCTTCAAGGTAGCCCCCACGTTAGAAGCGCATGCATTAGTCCAAGCAGGGATAACTAGAGCATGCACCACTTCTGGCGAGACCAGTCCGCGGGCAGGGAGGGTCTTCCATCCTTGCTTACCAGGTGGAGCCGGGTAGACAGCCGCCCTGAACCACAGGGAACTGACCTGCGCCTCCATGGACAGCTGTTGAGTCCAAAATGGCTCCCAGGCTGCGCACCTGGTCCTTTCAGGGGCACGTTACCCCATTTCAGGACCAGGGGTCTTCCACCCCCGCCCGGCCCCCTGTCTTCCCAAAACAGTACTTCTGTCTTGTCAGGATTTCAAACCTCAATCCATTAGGGATATGGACACTGCGATTTTGGGGGGTGTTAAGCTACGGACCCTTGCTTTCATGTATTCAATTACTTGGCTTACGGAACACTGCAAAATAATAAAATGATGGGAGTGTGTTTTTTGCTGCAAAACGGCTCAAACTTGGGACGGGTTTAGAGGGATCCTAATGTTAGTTCATCAATCCCAGGCAAGCACAAGGTTGCCCTGTCCACAGCAAAAAGACGGATATGATGAACTTGGAAAAATAAAATACTGGAAATAAAAACACGAAAAAAAAATTACTTGGAATAAAAAACCTGGAAAAATAAAAAAATTGCGGCTCCCTTCTACAATTGCGATTGGAAGACTTTTTCGCCCAACTCGCAACATGCATAACACTTGCATATAACCGCAGAGTTGCCATGGCACAAATATTCTACGTATCTGGAACCCACTTACAAAACGAATAGGTTAAATCTGGTGAGGTACAATTAAACCTTTGTAAATATGATATAGTTTTGGGAGGGTCCGTCCCCCCTTTATTTTCCTTTCCACCACGGGTTCCGTTTCTTCTTTTCTCTCTCTTTTATTTACGACTCCACCGGTTAGTGGCATATAATTATGATTCTCTTTCAAGCTTCTGCCTTCTGGAGAAGGTTACCAAGGTCTATAAAGACAGGACTAGCGCCTGAGAAACAGTTTCCTATCCAAATGCGATTTTGGTTTTAAACGCAGTGTAAGTAGCCTCTTGGGAGTAATTGTATTTCAATTATGGGTATTCAGAGTTTTTAGCGCGGGTTACAGGGCGTGGATAGCTGCGCTTTGTTAGTTTTGAATGTCTTGATGTAGATTTTTTTCCAGTTCGTTGTTCTGTATGGGACAACTAACCAGTAAAAGATTATCCGTATCTGTAATTAATTATATTTTACAACCTTTTTGGCACAGGTTTGGAGGGGTTCCAATGTTGGGTCCCTAGTTCATAATCCCCAGGCAAGCCCCTAGTGTGGGTGAGCCCAGGCATTTAGGGGGGGCGTGTACTGAATGAATGATGCACTTTTACACCTCTAGAAACCCTTCCCTTGGGGAATCTCTTTCTCCCAGTCTGTCGCCTGAGCCCCAATCACAGAAATTAACAGGAACAATCTATTTGGATTCCGCTTCTCAGGTTGTTGCATTGTGTGTGCTGTGATTCCTTCCTTGCTTGCACACCTTCCCCTTTTAGAGCAGTTGTGGGAATTGCAATTTAGATCTGCATTTGTCAGGTTTTTTTGGGATGTGCAGTTAGCACCTGCACTCACACCTTTGGGGCAGCTGTGCTTACCTTAGCAGGCAGGGACTTCCAGGGTCACATTGCCCTAAGCATCTTCCAACATCAATTTCCTGGAAGATTTGAAAGACAAAAGGAGAAGGGGAAATCACTTGCCAGCCTCCCACTGTCTTTGCCAGGGTGGTGGTAATTCAAAAGGATATGTGTCATTCACAAATACACCTCCTAGGACCACCCACACCCAGCATGGAAGAAGGAAAACACAGCTTGGCTTTGCAACAGGAAAAACGGGGGGGGGACGGGGGGGGGACAAACACATTTAGCTAAACATCATTCGCAGAGGAATTATTATTTTGGAGTTTTATTGCTGCAGAAAACAGCACACAGAAAATGAGAGTCCTTAAAAGCTGAGCGCATAACACCAAACTGGGAGGGGTAGCTCAGAAGATAAAATCCAGATACAAGCTGACATAATCATCATCATCATCATCTATTAGGGACGTGGGTGGCACTGTGGGTTAAACCACAGAGACTAGGGCTTGCCGATCAGAAGGTCGGCGGTTCAAATCCCTGCAACGGGGTGAGCTCCCGTTGCTCGGTCCCTGCTCTTGCCAACCTAGCAGTTCAAAAGCACGTCAAAGTGCAAGTAGATAAATAGGCACCGCTCCGGCGGGAAGGTCAACGGCGTTTCCGTGTGCTGTTCTGGTTCGCCAGAAGCGGCTTAGTCATGCTGGCCACATGACCCGGAAGCTGTACGCTGGCTCCCTCGGCCAATAAAGCGAGATGAGCGCTGCAACCCCAGAGTCGGTCACGACTGGACCTAATGGTCAGGGGTCCCTTGACCTTTACCTTTATTAATTTATTATTTATACCCCGCCCATCTGGCTGAGTTTCCCCAGGCACTCTGGGCAGCTTCCAATCAAGTGTTAAAAACAATACAGCATTAAATATTAAAAACTTCCCTAAACAGGGCTGCCTTCAGATGTCTTTTAAAAAGAAGGATTGGGAGATTGGGCCCAGGCTAACAAAATGAATTTCAACAGGGACAAATGTAAGGTCCTTAGAAATAAACAGAGGCACAATAATAGGATGTGAGGGGCTGGGGGAATCTGGCTTGACAGCAGGACGTGCAAAAATGATCTAGGGGTTTTAGTCGACCATGAGCTTAATGTGAGCCAACAGCGAGATGCAGCGGCAAAAAAGGCGAATGAAATTCTAGGCTAGCATAGCGTCCAAATCGAGGGAAGGAATAGTATCCTCTCATTCTGGGCTCCCCGGTTTAAGAGGGATATGGACAAACGGAAGGTGTGCAGAGGAGGGAACCAAGATGAATCAAGGGAGTCTGGAAAGCAAGCCTTATGAGGAACGCGTTGAAGGAGCTGGGTATGTTTAGCCTGGAAAACAGTAGACTGAGAGGAAATATTGTCAGATGTGCGTGCAGGAGCCAGGCCCTGTGACCAGTAGGGCTTCACAGGACTGGGGCCTTCCTAAGTTTGTTCTGGAGAGGCAAGGGGCGGCCCGCACAGGTGAGGCCGATTGGTAACTCACAACACCTGCTGGCAAGAGCCAGGAAGGATATAAGGCCAGCATTTTCCCTTCGGCTCTTTGCCACAGCAACACGTTTCCCTGCCTTGCTGCGTTTGGCTCCTTGACTCCTTGCTTCTTGATCCTCAGACCCCTGATCGTGACTCCTTGCTCTTCATCCTGAAACCCCTGACTTTGTGACTCCTCGCTTCTTGACCCTTGGACCCTTGGCTTCTTGACTCCCAGCTCTCTGACCCTTGGACTCTTGGCTTCCTAACTCTTAGCTTCTGGACTCCTGTTCCTGCTCCCACCCCGCCATCTTGCCCCCAGTCCTGACGTCCCCAGCCAGGACTTCGATCGCCCGTGAACCGGAACTTGACAGATATGATAGCCATCTCCAAATATCTTAAGGGCTGTTCTTTTGCCTTGGTGAAACCACACCTGGAATACTGTGTCCAATTCTGGGCACCACAATTTAAGAAGGATGTTGACAAGCTGGAATCTATGCAGAGGAGGGCAACCAAGATGATCAAGGGTCTGGAAAGCAAGCCTGATGAGGAACGGTTGAGGGAGTTGGATAGGCTTAGCCTAGAGAAGAGGAGACTTGCTTTCCATTATCATGTTGGTTGGCCGGGGCGGATGGGAGTTGGAGTCCACCCTATTGAACGTGAGTGGCTTTGCAACGGAAGCAGGAAGAAGAAGCATCACACCTTAATCAGCTCCAGTTTTTCTCCCGCAGAGTTGAGCACCACCTCGTAGTAGTATTCCATGTGGGAGACCCGGTAACAGGGCTCCCTCAGCCGGCAGCTCCCCACGATCTGAACCGAACGGTGCCCATTTGGGGTCTTTATCAGAATGGAGTCGAAATCCATGGGCAGGCAGAAAAGCCCCTCTGAAAAGAGATCCGAGACGGAAATAATAATAATATATTATTATTATTATTATTATTATTATTATTATTATTATTATTATTTTATACCCGCCCATCTGGGCAGCTTTCAACAAAATATTAAAATACAGTAATGCATCAAACATTAAAAGCTTCGGGTAGCATTCTATTCATGTTGCAAACGGGCCTCCGGAACGGATCCTGTTTGCAACCAGAGGTACCACTGTAATAATAATTTATAATAACAACTTATTATTTATACCCCGCCCATCTGGCTTGGTCTCCCAGCCTCTCTGGGCGGCCCTCCAAACAAGACACTAAAATACCAATAACCTATTTAAACATTAAAAGCTTCCCTAAACAGGGCTGCCTTCAGATGTCTTCTAAAAGTCAGAGAGTTGTTTATTTTCTTGACATCTGGTGGGAGGGCGTTCCACAGGGTGGGGGGCCACCACCAAGAAGGCTTCTGCATGGTTCCTGTAACCTCACTTCTCGCAGGGAGGGAACCGCTAGAAGGCCCTTGGCGCTGGACCTCAGTGTCTGGGCAGAACGATGGGGGTGGAGATGCTCCTTCACGTATACTGGGCCGTTTAGGGCTTTCAAGGTCCGCACCAACACTTTGAATTGTGCTTCGAAACGTACTGGGAACCAATGTAGGTTTCCAGGACCAGTGTTATATGGTCTCGACGGCCGCCCCCAGTCACCCGTCTAGCTGCCGCATTCTGCATTAGTTGTCATTTCCGGATCACCTCCATCTCCACCCCTCCATTCCTCACTGCGAGAGGTGAGGTTACAGGCAACCAGGCAGAGGGCCTTCGTCGGTCGTGGCACCCATCCTGTGGAAACACCCCTCCCAGCAGATGTCAAGGGATAAACAACTATCTGACTTTTAGAAGACATCTGAAGGCAGCCCTGTTTAGGGAAGCTTTTAATGTCTGATGTTTTATTGTGCTTTAATTCTGTTGGGAGCTGCCCAGAGTAGCTGGGGAAACCCAGCCAGATGGGCGGGGTATTAATAATAATAATAATAATAATAATAATAATAATAATAATAATAATAATATCTTGTTGTTGTTATTGTTAAGCCCTGTTGGTTTCCCCTGCAGATGACATCCTTGCTCTGAAAAAAGTCCCGGAGCTCCAATCCACAACACTTCTGCCTCGCATTACCTCCGGGATGTTCTGGATTGGAACACCTGCCGACGTCCAAGGTTTGTTCCAGAGGGGAGTCTGGGAAGAAGGTTTTCAGGGACGGCAGCCGAAGACATTCGGAAGGACTAGCGTTGCACTGGCAGCCCTCAATCACCTCCACCTGTCGAACACCTTCCAGAAGCAAGAGCTCTTGTACCCGGACACTGCTGGGCTCGCAGCGGTAATTCGCTGGGCAGGAATGCTCCAACCTGGTGGAGGGTTCGGATCCTGCGAGAGAGCTGGGGAACCTCTCCTGTAGCTGGAAGGAAGAGCAAGAAGAAGAAAGCAGGGGAAGCTAGGTTTTTCGGGTATTATATACAATTTACAGCATGGGAGAAGTTATGGAATTGGGATTTGAAATTTACAGCATGTTATAAAGGTAAAGGGACCCCTGACCATTAGGTCCAGTCGTGACCGACTCTGGTGTTGCAGCGCTCATCTCGCTCTATAGGCCGAGGGAGCCGGCGTACAGCTTCCGGGTCATGTGGCCAGCATGACTAAGCCGCTTCCGGCGAACCAGACCAGCGCACGGAAACACCGTTTCCCTTCCCGCCAGAGCGGTACCTATTTATCTACTTGCACTTTGATGTGCTTTCGAACTGCTAGGTTGGCAGGAGCAGGGACCGAGCAACGGGAGCTCACCCCGTCACGGGGATTCGAGGGGAAAGGTGCCACACACTAAACAAAAACTTCTGGATCTTGATATGCACAGGGTACAAAAAACACCTACGTATTGCCAAGTACCCAGTCTGATTGTACATAAATGCTGCATTGATTAAACCACTGCATAGTTTACCCTAAAATAAGTGATCTTATTTTAAGTGAACTCTGTGTTAGGGATTTGGGGGGGGGAGAGTTTATAGCAGCTGCTCTCCATATATCAGGGGTGAACAACGTGGGAGCTGACTGCAGACTTCCTGTTCAGGGCCGTTAAAACTAAAAACAAAAAGAGATTGTGGAGAGCTTGTCCAAACTGAGCAAATGGGCAATAAAATGGTCCAGTTCAGTGTAAGCAGCAGTCAAGTGATACTTGTGGTGGCAATAAATCTTAATTTCACATATACGCACATGGGGCATGAGCAGGCAGTGACTGACCAGCGATGAGACCTTCAGGTCGGAGTGGATAGCTCCGTGAAGATGTTGACCCAGTGTATGGCAACTATTTCTTAAAAGATAAATTCCATGCTAGGAATCCCATGTGTGCTGTTCTAGTCACCTCTCCCTCAAGGATATAGCAGAGTTGGAAAGGAGCAACTGAAATGTGATCAAGGGGCTGGAGTGCCCTCTGACCCGGGTGAGGAAAGGTTGTGACATTTGAGACTTTTTAGTTAGGACAAAAACCAAGTAAGAGGTGAAATGATAGACGTTTATAAAATTATACCTGGCTTGGAGAACATGGACTGGGGTTTTTTTCTCTCTCTCCCTCTCTCATGACTCTAGAACTCATAGACATCCAGTGAAGCTAATTGTTGGAATATTTAGGATAAAGAAAAGAAAGTACTTCTTCACACAATCCAGAGCCCGATCTGAAAGGAAAATTTTGGGGCTTGACAAGTTAAAGAGGACCTGATCTGGGATGACCTTTGGTTGGGTGCAAATTAATTGAAGATTTGGGAGGGGGGCATTTGCATGGGAAGTTAGTTGGCTCCTCTTCCGTCACACATCTATGCATATAAATTAGCATGGGCAAATGCTATGCACATTTGTGTTCGTGAGTCCATGCCCTGAATATTTACATACCCAGCAAATGACTCTGGTGCCCAGAACACAACTCATATACAGAATCCTCATAAATGACGTGGATAACACAGGCCTTCGTCAAAGGGATTCCAAAACATATTGACAGCTTAAATGTCAAAGCTAGAGGACAGAGGAAAACAAGGTGGCATACAAGGAAATAAATATTCTCTGGCACACACCAGCCAAGCTGTAAGCAGTGCTGGCACTTAGCCCTCAGTTCACACTGACCTTGGGAAGGTCATTCATATCCTGTTGTTCCGAACCCACATCACCAAACAGAGTCCAGATACTGTCAATTGCTGTGTCAGAGATCATGTTTTCCCATGACTACAGTTCTGATAGTGTCCTGTCCATCACTTCATCTGTTTGCTGTGATCTGTGATGATCTTTCCCGACAAGGTTTTTCAGCAGTGCAGTTTCCTTGACGGGTTGGTCCAAAGGTTTTCTCCATGCCTTCATACATTTTGTGAGTGTTGCCCGCGTCAGCACCGAGTTGGATGCTCTGACGCAGCTTTAGCCATTAGTCGCTGGCACATGTGGAAATGGTGAGGGCAACTAAATCTGTTGTCATTTTTCAAAGGGCCCTTGTCTCTTTTGGTCTGCGCCTGCCACCTAGTGGATACAGCATGGTACTTCTAAGGTTGCCATGTGTCCCCACATAGGAAGACACCTAGCAACACCTTTATCACCTTATGAAAACACACACACACACACACACACCAGACTTGCAAAATCAGGTTACTAAATGCCAGGTTTTGTGAGTGATATCCAGATGCTCCAAACTCAGTGGCCTGGTTTCTCCCAAATCCCCAACTCCCGGCACAGAGGAAGTATGAGATGTTGCTACCTTTCTTTAGTGTGCTCAATAATTTTATGTGCTCCAATTGTGACACCCCAGCCTAAAAACATGAGCATTTGGGTGTCCACTGTGTTGAAGAATTACCTTCACAAATGGGCTCTGCAAAGTGCAGTTCTAGGATAGGTTTCCTGGAACAGAAGTCAAAGCAAAGACATCCTTGGTTTTCAAACTGGGATGTTGTGTTTTTTTTTAAGTTACAGGTAGGTAGCCGTGTTGGTACAGTGTTGATACTGTAGATAGTTTTCACTCAGGTCCACATATGCAAATAAGGGGTTGAAAGTGACGTTCAGTGATTGGATAGTTACAGAAAGTGGTTACTGTTGTGTTGTAGTGGAGCTCTATATAAGCAGGCTGGCTGAACCCTTCAGTTCAGTTCTGTTCTGGCCTGTGAATAAAGAAGAGCTGTCTGAAGAATCGCTGTGCCGTCTGATATTTTCACCCACATCTTAACAGTAGGCCTCTAAATACCAGTTGCTGGACGGGAGAATTCCTACATTCCTGCCTCTCAAGCACCTTCAGAGATCCAGCATGACTCATGTTCAGAGCCACCTGATGAACCCTAGCCATCTCATTTTCATGGTTGGGACTCTTCTCATCAGTACAGTGGTACCTCTGGTTAAGAACTTAATTCGTTCCAGAGGTCTGTTCTTAACCTGAAACTGTTCTTAACCTGAGGTACCACTTTAGCTAATGGGGCCTCCCGTGCCGCCGGCCCGCGATTTCTGTTCTCATCCTGAAGTAAAGTTCTTAACCTGAGGTACTACTTCCGGGTTAGCAGAGTCTGTAACCTGAAGCGTTTGTAACCTAAGGTACCACTGTACACACACCCTTAGGTTCATTTCTTTGTTCTACCACCACTGGGACATGCAAAAGCTCCTTCCTCTCATTTCTGGTTCTTCTTTCTTTGGAAATACTTGTCATCCCCTTTGACTCCTTTGTAATCTCTCCTTTCTTAATTCACCATGGGCGATGCTCTTTTGCCTTATACCTGCTTCAGTCAATGTCAGGGGTTAGCAAACTTTTTTAGCAGGGGGCTGATCCACTGTCCCCCAGACCTTGTGGGGGGCTGGACTATATTGGGGGGGGATGAACCAATTCCTATGCCCCACAAATAACCCAGAGATGCATTTTAAATAAAAGGACACATTCTACTCATGTAAATACACGCTGATTCCTGGACCATCTGCAGGCCAGATTGAGAAGGCAATTGGGCCAGATTCGTCCCCCAGGCCTAAGTTTGCCTACCCATGGTCAATGCCTTGCTCCTGTCTCTTGTTACTTTCCCTGGTTTTTGCCTGACTCTGTTTGTTTCTCTGCCTCAGTTTCATGCTCCCTCTTCTCAACGCTCGTTCTTCCTTGCCAGGCTCCTGTCCTACCTTCAAGCACATGCTTTCTTTCACTCTTCTTCTCTTCTTCACAGGCTTCTGTTCGTCCACATTCCCTCTGCCTCTTTCACTCCCACTTCATCTCCTGTACAGTCATAAAGGTAAAGGGACCCCTGACCATTAGGTCCAGTCGTGACCGACTCTGGGGTTGCGGCGCTCATCTCGCTCTATAGGCCGAGGGAGCCGGTGTACAGCTTCCAGGTCATGTGGCCAGCATGGTGAACCAGAGCAGTGCACGGAAACACCGTTTACCTTCCCGCCAGAGCAGTACCTATTTATCTATTTGCACTTTGACGTGCTTTTGAACTGCTCTGTTGGCAGGAGCAGGGACCGAGCAACAGGAGCTCACCCCTTCGCGGGGATTCGAACCGCCAACCTTCTGATTGGCAAGTCCTAGGCTCTGTGGTTTAACCCACAGCGCCACCCGCGTCCCTTACAGTCATACCTGTACAGTCATACCTCGGGATAAATATGCTTCAGGATAAGTATTTTTGGGTTGCGCTCCACAGCGACCCGGAAGTAACGGAGCGTGTTACTTCCAGGTTTCGCCGCTTGCGCATGCGCAGACAGTCAAAATGATGTCACGCGCATGTGCGGAAGCAGCGAAACGCGACCTGTGCACGCACAGACATGCAGTCGCATCTTAAGTTCTATTCAGGATGTGAACAGGACCCCGGAACGGATCCCATTCGCATCCCGAGGTACCACTGTATGTCTGTTTCTCTTTCTCAGTGGCTGGTGTAGTGACAGATTCAGAAGTCCAAGCCACACCCCTTCTAAGATTATACAATTACCTTGTGATAATAATAATAATAATAATAATAATAATAATAATAATAATAATAAATAATATACTCAATAATAGGAAATGAGGTACCACAAGATAGAGATAAAATGTTTCTATCTGCAGCTGCAGCAGCCAGGTTACTACTTGCAAAGAATTGGAAAGGAAAGGAAATTACATTCCCACAAAAGAGGATTGGTTATATAAATTATCTGAATTTATAGAATTGGCGAAATTAACTGCAGCAATAAGATAACAAACAAATCAGAAATTAAGGTCACAACGGATATGGTTTGAAGAATATATGAGTAAACATTGCTCTAAAGATAGCATGCTGATATGCTTAGACTAAGCTGTAAAGTTGACCTAGAAAAAATAACAGTTTAATAAGAGAAGTAAGGTAGAGATACATGAATTGCAATGTAAATAAGAACTTTAACGTAACAAAGATGGCGAGCATTGGCAGAGGGAAGCCACATGAGTGTATTATTATTTACCTATTTTATGTATTTTTCTTTTTCCCTTACCTTTTTTTTTGTTTTGTTTGTAAGTGTATGTGCATTACTGTTTTGTATGTATGTCTAAATAAAAATAAAATAAATATATATATATAAATATAAAAGAAAAAAGCAATAATAATAATAGATTCATTGCCACTATCACTGGTTATATCAAGACTGGATTACTGCAGTGCACTCCACTTGAGGCTACTTTTGTTCTTGATCTGGAAGCTGCAGTTAGTGTAGAATGCTGCAGCACGATTGCTGACAGGAGTGAGGTCTTGTCAGCATCAGGAATGCCAGCTTGGCCCCGGCACCTATGGTCAGCATATAATGCCCGTGCTCACCAATTTGCAACCAGTAAATAATAATAAACTATTCATGTCAATCTCCAAGTATGTGTTTCAGTTAGATCTACTGTTTTCTGGGCAATGCATTTGGAGTTTTCAAACATCTTCTGTCAGAGTGACATTCTGCTGGGGATGCAACTTAACTCATTCACTTTTCCTTTCTTACCTACACGGGCTTTTCCAGACAATTCAACAATCCCAGGTCATGTGATGTCATGTCATGTCATGCACCCTTCACACATGCTACACGATATCAAGTCCCCACATCGCCCAGGGACAGCAACCCTGGAAAATTCAGGTTGCGTAATTGTGTCATTATAGTTTGTCATTCTTGGGAGAAAAGCAACGACAAACCTAGACAGCATCCTAAAAAGCAGAGATATCATCTTGCCAACAAAGGTCCGTATATTTAAAGCCATGGTTTTCCAGTAGTTATGTATGGAAGTGAGAGCTGGACCATAAAGAAGGCTGATTGCCAAAGAATTGATGCTTTTGAATTCTGGTGCCGGAGGAGACTCTTGAGAGTCCCATGGACCGCAAAAAGATCAAACCTATCCATTCTTAAGGAAATCAGCCCCTAGTGCTCACTGGAAGGACAGATCCTGAAGCTGAGGCTCCAATACTTTGGCCACCTCATGAGAAGAGAAGACTCCCTGGAGAAGACACTGATGTTGAGAAAGATGGAGGGCACAAGGAGAAGGGGACGACAGAGGACGAGATGGCCGGACAGTGTTCTCGAAGCTACGAACATGAGTTTGACCAAGCTGCGGGAGGCAGTGGAAGACAGGAGGGCCTGGCGTGCTCTGGTCCATGGGGTCACGAAGAGTCCGACACGACTAAACGACTAAACAACAACAACAACATAGTTGACCGGAAGGTCTTATGTAACAAACCCACTTCTCCAAAAGATTGGGTCTTTTTTGTGATAAGGGGTGACAGGAAAATGCACTGGAAAGTAATGGATGGCGCTTGCTTTGACATCTAACAATCTGCAAACAAATCAACTGAATGTTTAATAAACAGGTTGTCTGTGTATCTGCAATGGCTACTAGGTCCAGAGTTCAAGAACAGAAAAGCAGCAGAGCCATTTTTATTTTTCTGATTGCCAATGAAGCAGAATGCTGGAAGATTTGGGACAGATAAAAGAAATAACGTCTTCACACAATCCAGAGCCTGATCTGTAGGAATAATAATTTTTATTTCTCTGATGGCTGGAGGTACAATGACTGTGCAGAATTCTTTAAAAAGGAAGATCAATACGTGTATAGCAGCCAGGCTGTTCAGTCATCGCTACCTTGGAAAGAGAGGAAGATGCTAATATGTGACTAAGTTATTTCACCACCACTGAGCTATAGTTTCTCCTCTGGGCAATACCCGAGGGTTTGTGCTCCACAATTAAGCAAGCAAACAGCGATGCATTTCTGAAAACTGGTTTCT